TCCGGCGAAGGGTGGCGTGGGGCCGTCCCTGGAGTGCGAGCTTCTATATACCGTTAAGAATAAGAAGGAGAGAGGGGATTGTAGTGCCAGTATGCTTGCCGGCGCCGGCTATGGAGAGATTTGTGAAGTTAATGAATGAGATTTTAGAAGGTGAATCAGTTGATTCTTCTGAAGAAAATAAATCAGTGTTTATTGTTTCAGCCATGTGAAATATGTATAAGTAATTAAGATGTATTATGGTGATGGATGTTTTGTTTACAAATATATATTTGCATAATTTGGGATGTGTAGTTTAATTTTTGTTAATATGTACATATGTAAGTTTAAGGTTATAGATTTGGGTTAAGCTTAATTATGGTTTTGTTTAAAAATCTAAGCTTACCAAGGTTAAAAATGTGACATCCCGAAGATCGAATGGTGTATGGGGGAGTATTTTTGTAAAGATTTATTGGAATCAAAAGGTTAAAAGAAATGACCAAATCGCAAAGGTTTTGAAAGGAGAGGGGCAATATGGAAATAAAGTAGGGGTTAGGTGGTAAAGATTTTAAAAAGAGAAGGGAAATCTGGGAATTTAAAAAGAAGCAAGGAAGCCAACGGTCCTGATCTATTCCTGGCATCTAACGGTTCGGACACTAGCCGCAATTGAGAGTGGCGGAGAAAGAGAGCGGAGAAGTGAGATTCGAGACACCAAAGGAAGAGGGCGTCCGGCGAAAGGCTGGAAGCAGAAAGCCATTTCGGCGTACGAGCTCTGACGCGAAGAGAGCTCAGGGAGAAGAAGACCGTCATCACGATCCAATATCATCACCGGAACCGATAAGGTAAGATCGATTTGCTCTTATAACCCGGATTTGAAATAGTGTGAATAAATTTCTTATATCGTGGAATGATGAAATTACTTGCGAGTTCCTTGTTTATTTTGTGTACAAATTTAAGTTAATGGTGTGAATGTTTTGGAATATTTAGAATGAAAGATAAATATGGAGGGGGAAGCGTTGAATAAGGAGTGAATACGGTAGATTACTGAGGTATGGGAAAAACGCCGCTGTTAGAGCGGGAACCGTTGAAAATTAAATCAAGCAGAACTAATAAGCGGTTTCTTTGATTTAAGCCAACTGGATCGGTGGAAATCAAGTAGAAAACCACCAACAAAAGAGGTAACGGAGGTGATTTAGATTTTGGGATATATGTAGAAGGAGATCCAAAAGGAAAATGCATGATGATTAGGTTGAAGCACTACAATAGGGAGAACATACGAAGTAGGTTGACAGTGACCAACGGAAACAGAGTGAGAATGGGGAGGGACTGATGGGGAACATAGATTTTAATTTAATATGGCCAACTATGCAGCGTATTATGAGGAGTGTATAAATATGGAAGCAGAAATAGGTGTGAGGTTGATGTACATCCCTGACATATAATCATGGCTGTAATACTAGGTATACATACACGTGTGTGTGCGGCGACACTCAAGGCCACGGAACTAATTATAACTCGAAAGTGGGAATCATTGTGCAGGACTATGCTCTGCGTATGTTTCAGTGTATGTAATTGCTTGTGTTTATGTGTGAAATGCATGAATAATGACTGCCTGTGATGATTTTTAATTCTGTGATTATTGTGATGTTGTGGATGTAGGTGTGTGGTGGGGCTAGGTGACATGATTCTGATAAATGGTTGTGTGTGGACATAAGACTGGGGAATGCCTTGAGAATGTACTGTTTGGGGTGGGTATGGTTGAAGGTGGGAAACCATTGAAGAAAGGAAAGGAAATAAAGGAAGAGGGAGTGCAGACTTGATGGGTCTGCCAGTGATGGATGAGAGTAGGAGGAGGGAGAAATAGAGAAGAGTGAAACAGAGAGAAAGCATATCTGACAGATCTGTTTGGGAAGGGTAAATTGTAGGAGGAGGGAAAACCTAGAGAAATAAGACTTGATGGATCTGTTTGGGGAGGGTAAATGCAGGAGGAATAGACTGAGAAAAATGAAATGGGGAGAGAGTTGACTTGACTGGATTGCATGAGTATAGATCAACAGAGTGAGAAAGAAAAGAACATAAATAAATAAAAAAGGAGTTGAGAGAAAGGGAAATAGAGAGAATATAGCCCGGAATGATAATAAGAGTTGCTGGTAGGATATCGTAATGGGTGAAAGGTACTTGAAGGAGAATGAACTTTAGGCAGTGAAGAAGTGAGGGTGACTGGATGTTGAAGAATACCGGTGTGCAGAAGGTTATCGAGGAAATTGGGGGATTT